TGCAACATTAACTTTTTTTTTAAGAATTCGAGATTTGAAGAAATAGGTAGGTAATATTTTAAATAGGTGGTTTTCCTCAATATGCATGCCAGACCACGGAGACTATCCACCACGTACTGGAAGATGCCAGAAATTTGCTGCAACGGAATACGGAAAATGAATAATATAAAATTATAGATATTGCGTACAACCAGTGCTTTATTGCAAATACCGCATACTATTTTCCAAAATGTTGGACACAAGATATATTGGAATCACATTGATCATCCGGTTGCGCACAATAGACCGGATATTATCACTGTATATGCGATTAATCTGAATGGATCGTTTATTGATGTTTTCATCCAAAAACCAAAAGCTTACCGCAACTTAAGCAAACACAATGCAAAAGTCCAAAGATTCAGAAGCACCTACATGCACAGAAGCAATAGAAATTGAAGAAAATCCAAACGGTAAGTACGGTAAAATTTTTTTGTCAACATACTTAATTGGGATGAAACTGGATGGTACCTGAAGCGTTGTAGATATCGCACGGGCATAACTATTAATGCGTTAGTTGCTATAGGAAAGTCTTAAAGCGTGCTGCATCACACGCAATAAAACTGGAATTTATACATACAGGATTTATCTGGCTAAAATTTTATAATATAGCCATTTCGCCATTTCCCAAGCCCAAAGAATTCATTTCAGCGAGCCCATAAAACGAATAAAAGACGAGGAAAAATCCAAAATAAACGGGCGGTACGTACCACGCCGAACATCCGCCGTTGTCGACAAATTTATAAGAAAATTATGCAAATGTCGCGTTACTCTAGACCAGAAATACCAACTCACGTCCCATTACGTTGGTACAGATCGTAAATTAGCCTTTTTGAATTGGTATACCGGAGTACTTTGAGACTGATACGGATAATCATCTTGAAAGGCCATGAGCGCAATGGAGAAAAACTATCTTTATATAAATTTTCAGTCAACAGGTATTGGCTATGTTCCAAGATTTCAGTTAATTTTTTGAAAGAGGAGAGAAAAAAAATTCAATTCTAGAGCTTAAAAAATAAAAATAGTTTATCAAATGTATTGCATAAACAATAATTTTACTAATTCTCTACTCAACTTAAGTCGACTAATATTTTGTTGTTTCGGATTTACTGTTAATCCTTTTTCAAGGTTCACTTCCAATTCCGAAAAGTTTTTGACATCTTAAGAACAACGATGATGAAGCGAGGGCTTTTTATTTTCTCATCTATGTATGAAATGAACCAGCGTTCCAATTAAAAGCACATTTGTGTGAATTACATCTAATAGGTCTGTTTCTGCACGACTCACAAACGAGTTCTGATTAGTTCAAATACCAATTTCTGAGGGACAGTAAGTTTCGAGCGAGGAGATTGACTTTCAGTTCCACTTAAAATAGTTGTTCGGTTTATATTCAGATTATATTTTTCTTGTTCTAGTTAATTGAAAGTATCTGTCTCTATCTTGCTGTTGAATTGTATAATTATCAATTGAAGAAAATTTATTGATTCGTGTCGCAATATGAACATAGCATTAAAAAAAAACGAATCTTCTGTTTAGAATAATCGTGTAAGGGAGAAACCCTAATTCTAATTTTGAAAGGAAACAAAAAAGCTTCTAGTTTTCCACAATTTTATTTATATGATACTTTAGGATGTTTCAGTAGGTACACGGTGCCTTTTTCAGATGCGGATTCCTTCCAACATTTTTATTGAATTTCCATCAAGTAAATAGGTACCTATCGTCTAAATCAATCTCTCGTTAATTCTGTTTGTTTTTATTTAATTAGTTAAAATGTTTTGTCCTCGAAGCATGATTTGTAAGAAACTTAAGTGCTAGCTACAGTCGAACGGTTTTACTCAAGGAAGGGGAAACCTCTTAAGAAATGAAAGTATAATTCTAGTAAAACAACCTCTTCGTAGCAAGTGATCCATTAGATATCTACTAGTGATGCCGCGACTCGAGACGAGAATACGCTCTCTCTTCGTCTTGTCTCGAAGGTTCTAGAGAAAATGAGTGTCTCGTCTCGTCTCGTTTTCTCTCGTCTCGTCTCGTTTTGTCTCTCGTGAGTTTAGACGCATAGTAAGTAGGTAAATTTCGATTTCGAAATCAAGAAAATGTGAAAAATGTACTCTCGCTCCTTCTGAAGTGTATAAAAATGTAACCAAAAGCCCAAATGTCTAGAAAATATTGAAATTTTCCAGTGATGTGGACATATTAACGCTTCATCTTAACAAAAGGTTTGAGACGCCAATGGAATAATCAACGCTATATTAATTACATGGAAATAATTTCAATAAAATCGACGGTTTTGTTTTTGTCATATTAATAAATTTTTTTTTTTTTTTCTAAAATACAAATAACACTCCTGTACCTCAGGATTCAGGAATGAGGCATTTCCAATTTCCGGACACATATTTATAGGAAATTTTCAAATATAAGGAAACGAACATTGATTTTAGGAATTCAACTTTGGAAACACCCTGTATACAGTGTGTCCGAAATTCGAGTCTCTACATGGGGATTTCGCTTATTATGGGAGATACAGGGTGGCTCAAATTAGGAAAGTTTTAGGGAATTTATTGCTCATTTATATCCTGTTGTTAAATTTACTTCAAAGTTTTCTGTTTCCTAGAAATCCGAGAAAAACTGAAAATAGCCAATTTTGTTTTTTGTCAATAATTCATAAACCGTTAACTTTAGACTTTTCTAACTTTGACAATATTAAGACACTTTTTTGAAACGGATATTTTCGTGATTTGAAAACATTCCCATCGTCGTTTGTTTTCGAGTTATTAACCAAAACTTTTTTATTTCTTATGGCGGCCATCTTCGATTTCAACAAAATAATATTCTGCGAAAAAAATCCTTTAAAATGATGTATTACAAGCTATGAAAACAAGCAAGTCCTCCAAAATTACAGTTGAAACCGATATTTTGCTAAATTTGGCAACAATGCTCATAGTTATAGGAATAAAACCAAATAAGTATGATTTAATACCTAGAATCGGTATTTTTGAAGTCTTCTGGCAATTTTACTGGATAAAGAAAAAATAAGTAGGTATGTACAGGGTGGTCATTTTATCTTGATAACATTTCAAACTGTCATAATTTCTTTATTTTTGAAGTTATTTAAATAAATAAAAAAACATACTGTAGGGTTGTTCTCCAAGTTGTAGATAGGGTGCACAAAAAATAATAGACTAAGCCCGGTATTCATAGTGCCTACTTGAGTGCTGAGGATTCCTTAAAGGTTTCCTTGGCAGTAAATTGTCTTTCAGAGTCAAAATTGTCAAGGCGTCCTTATCGCAGCTCATGCTTATTTTGTCACATTTCCTTCCTTGACTTGAGAAATGTCCAGAGGTCCCTTGAGGCTGGTTTTCTAACCTATTGGTGACAGTACGTGAACCTAATTGATACGTATTGTACCTGAACTGTATTTTATCGATGTAATTGGTATGGATGAGCTGGATTTTTTTTTGTAGAGATAAATGCTGCTGATACTTGATTCAGCTAGTGCAGGCACCGTGGTGGAATGGTAGAAAAAGCAGTATTGATTTAAACAGGCATTAGCATGCATTAGTTAGTCGATAAATCACCGCATCCGTGGCATTGCTGAATTTAGCCACACGAGGGTTATGCTGCGGAGGCTAAGAAGGTTTATTCGAGACATGCAGAATCCATTAGAATTTTATTCTGATGAAGAATTTCGTCGGCGATACCGATTTTCCAAACATACTATCACCGACGTTCTTCTACCTCTCATTTTTGAAGATTTAGATAGAATAAATAATAAAGGACTCCCTATCCCCCCAATTTTCCAGCTGCTAATTGCGCTTAGGTTTTATGCGTCAAATAGTTTCCAGGTAAGGTTATAGCAACTATTTTGTTCATATAAAGCCAGAGATAAATTTACGCAATAATCTGGACTGCCAGGTAGTTCATGGTGACTTGCGGGGCTTCAGTCAACTTTATGTTTCTCGAACCGTGAAAAATGTCTCCATATTATTTGCAAGACAGTTAGGAAATTTCGTCCACTTTCCCCGTCAACTCAACGAAGCCCGAAGAAATACAGCACGGTTTTTTAATATAGAAAATTTCCCAAACGTGTCAGGATGCATAGATTGTACACATATTGCGATTGGAAATTCAGGGGGAGCATATGCGGAGGTTTTTCGAAATCGTAAAGGCTGGTTTTCCTTGAATGTTCAGGTAGGGTTGCTTCATTTTTGTGTTACATTGAACTATAACGAGTCATGTTTCCAAATAAAGGTAACAGCAGGCCCCAACCTGGAAATATTAGACATTGTTGTGCGGCATCCAGGATCCAGCCATGACAGCCTCATTTTTAATAGGAGTGCACTACGAGCTCGTCTCCAACTTAATGAAATCCCAGGATTGTTTTTAGGGGACAGTGCATATGCTTGCACAAATAAACTGTTAACGCCGTTTTTAAACCCAAGAGACATTCACGAGGAGGCATACAATTTTGCGCACATCAGAACAAGGAATCTGGTGGAACGTTTGTTTGGAATCTGGAAGAGATGATTTTTCTGCTTACGAGGTGGGCTACGTACGAAGCTCAGAACAAGTATGGCTGTGATATGTGCAACCGCCGTGCTCTATAATATTGGACTCTTGCATAATGACAACATCTTAGACGAGGAAATGGATGATGCTATTGCGAATGTACTTCCTGCGGGCGATAATAATGCAGAAGGCTTGGCATTTCGGACAGTGTTTGCTCACCAACATTTTTAGTAACTGCATTTTCAACTAGCGCCTTTATAAAATTCAACTTGGATTTTGCGATTTGAATAAATAGTTTTTGAATGAGTTTGCATTCTATTTCTTTGGCATGAGTTAGGAATAATAACAAAACGCATCACAGAACAGAGAACAAACAAACAAACATTTAATATATAAAATGAACACAAAAGTGGAAAGCAACTTGAATTAAAACAAAATAGGAACGTTAGAATGCACTATTTATCTTGGGAATCGCGAAGCTCTTCTTCCGCCTGGAGCAGACGAACCATAGCTAATCTGGCTTCAGCGTTCGCGGCTTCCATCCGCTTTTCGTGCAACTCCCGTTGCTGGTCAATGCCGTCTCTGACTTTTTTAATTTGCAGCTGAATTAACTCGTCGATACAGCTACATGTGCGCTTGGATCGCATTCGCCTGTTAGACGGATGGAGTGCTTTTTGATCAATGGGTGCTGGAGTGAGCTGTTCAGGCACAACCTTCATAGATGCACCTGCTGAAGGCTGACATGGTAGCACAGCTTCATCTAAAACACAATTCAGAAAAGCTGCCTATTTAAGTATTCAATTATGAATTGCATACCCTCTGACTGGCTGCTTTCATCATTCAGTGGGGACAGTGGGGTTCGGTTATCCATCACTGCATCATTGCCCTTTGTAGCTAACGGGCTTAACAAATCTAAAAATACAGCAATAAACGATTTTCATTTAAGTAACATTCAACCTATACACGAACTTTTTTTTTCGAAAACAGCTGTGCTGTCCCAGTCGTTCCCCAACTCAACATCTATTGCTGGAAAAGCACTCCCCGCAAAATCCGTAACGAGATCAGTAATGACCTCCTTAGGAGAACCACCTCCCGTTAACAACCTGTTTTGTCGGGCTAATGTATTCTGCTGCCTTTTTCTAAAACATTCCAGACACAGCTGTACTGCATATTTGTTCATAGAACAATATCGTTATACTTACTTCTGTTTTATATTGTCCCAACACTTTTTTAATTGTTTCACACTTTTAGTTGGAAAGCCCTGGCTACAATAGGAACATTGAATTTTATTCCAAGCAGCCTGTTTCTCCTACAATGATACAGCGTCTGTTTTTTTATTTTCAGCTATTACCCTGTGTTGAGCGACCATCTGGACCAGGAACATTTTTTCGGTCTCAGTATACTTTGTCGCCATAATTTTGCACATAAATTTCACACGAAAAATTACTGTTTCTGGAGCTATCCTACCTTTTTCTCATAGAATTATATATTATCAATGACAACTTAATGACAATAACAATAGACATTTCGTAGAAACCGTTGTTGCCAGTTGCAAAACCTAATACGAGGCTTCCTTCAATAATATAAGGATGCTTTAATTCGCTACTATGAAATGCCAAAGTCGCAAACCACGAAGGCGTCCTTATTCAAGGCGACCTTCAAGTCGCAAGGGGTCCTTAACTTGAGGTGTGACTGAGAATACGGGCCTTAATATATTTTGAAAGTTATGTACACAAATAGCATTTTTTTAAATGAAACGCACAGTAAATTTGGGAAAAAGTCGGTGTGAGCGTACTACGCGAGGGGGGACGGCCATTCGGCCATTCTTGCCTTGGATCAGGTCAAGGCAATAAGTAGCGTGCGTACCTAAAAGAAGAAAGACGAAAGACGAAAGACGAGTGCAATTCTGAGTTGTTTAATTATTGGCAGTGAAGAGCCGTGTCACTCCTATAATTACCTATATAAAGACGAAGACGAAAGCCGACACCCTTTGCACTAATTAAGTGAGTAAAAGGCTAAAGAAGTGACTGCCATTTTTTTTTTTGCAAAATCCTAATCTCAAAAGACGAGACACCCTATCCCATCCCATCATATTTGTTCGACTATTTGCTATTAAAACCAATCCAATTTCACCTGGACCTTTTATTTCATCCCACAAACAACCAAGAACCAAGGAAAAAGCCTACATTTTGGAGGCTCAACCGGGATAAAGATTAGGATCGGGATTGGAGTTTGAAGATTGGAGATTAAAGATTGACGATTGGAGATTGTGGATTAGAAATTGCAAATTGGGATCATTGACGAAAAGAAGTTGTGTAGTGCAATAAAGTGAAAAGCTACCAGTGATTTGTGAAAAGTGCCGTTTTCAGTAGTTTTTCAGCGCTACAAAATGGCTGAATTTTGCCAAAGCATCCCCGAGTCCTGGATGTGAGGCTAGTCGGCCATTGAAATAATTGTTCTGTCTCTCTGTATGGGAAGTGGTTCCTGCTTACGAGGCTAACACCAGCAAGAGCGGGAAGAAGACGTCAAGTGTCAAAGCGTTGTTGCCGGTTGTTAACGTATGGTCGCTGTCAGTCAACAAGGAACGCGCGAAATTCGAATGGAATGGAGGATTTGGTCAACAAGTCAAATTAATTACTGCTCCAGTGATTCAAAACGTGGTACATATGGTTTGGATTTGTGTCAAATTGGTATTGTTGTTTTGGAATGTTTATTAAGAAGCTAATTAAGGTAGGATGCATGATTCATGTATGAAAAATTGTTAAACTTTATTGTTGTTTTGGCTCAATTTAAAAAAAAAAAAGAAACAACAACTGCTAGTTTGTTTCTGAGTGGTAAATAATAATAATAATTATCTTGTTTTGTATTCTTTACACAGCCATAAGGCAAAATAGGGTAATATAAATAAAAAAAAAATTTTGGTTTTTCAGTCTTGTTAAAATTTTGAAAGTTTTTGAGGTTAATTAATTAACTACATCAATAATTAAGTTGTTCTAGTTCAATTTTTATGCTTTATGCAACTAAATATTGACTAATTTAGTTGTTTAGCTTCAGTTTATTTTGAATATTTTGTCTTGAAAAGAAAAATTGCGAGAAAATCTGTATTTTTTTTATAAAGCAAGGCAAAATTAATCTGTTTATAGAAGTGAGGAGTTATTTCAATCATTGAATTTGAATTTTTTTGATATTTGAAGATATTTTTGCTTTTTAGTTTACTTTTGAAGTTAATTAAAAAAAAAAAAGTTGTAAATATTGAGTATATAGGACGTTTGTAAATTGTTTATAGTAGGTCGAGTAGTAGGTATACCTTGAGGTATACAAATAGTTTTTAGGTATCTTTTGATATTTTTATATTTTTCTAGTTTTGTAAAGGGGTGTCTTGACTTTTGTGGTGTATATTGTTTTAATGGTTTTGAGTATTATTTAAAAAAAAAAAGGTAAGTAAAGGGTGCTTAAGTGTCAAGACCGTAAATTCCGAAACTTTTTCTGGATTGCATCGTTTTTTTTGTTCCTTCTTTGAATTTTAAATTATTAAAAATAAAAGCTTTATTTGTGACTCAAATTTTGACTAAAAGAGAATAATGGCTAATTTAGGGAGTATTGATAAAATCGAGCAAAATTTAACAAACGCCAAATTAAAAACGATTCAAGCGCTGCATGTCATTGCTTTTGGTAGGGAAGGTCGCCCGCAAATGGTGAGAAGAAGTGTGCGTAAGTTTACCGGGTTTGGTTTAGATAAAAGTTCTGTGGAATATGACGAAAAAGTGAATAAAGTGAAAAACGATTTGCCTTTTAATGATGTGATTGCAGTGTGTCATGTATTAAACTTAGATTATAGTGGAGATCAGAATGAACTGATCAATCGTGTTTGTTCTTTTATGAATGATTTAACAGTTGAAGACGATGAAGCTGAAGAAGAACAAGACGATGAATTAGTAGAGGAAGAAAATAGTGAAGAAGAAAACGAAGAAGCAGACGAGGATGAAGACGACGACGTGCCTTTAGCACAAATAAGAAATCAGAAAACAAAAAGTGGATCTTTCGCATTGACTTTCAGAGACGTGGAAGATAGCATAAGAGCTTTTAGTGGGAAAGAAGATTACCCAATAAACAAATGGATTTCTGATTTCGAGGAAATTGCAAACATTACAGGATGGAGTAGCTTACAAAAACTGATATTTGCGAAAAAGTCATTGACTGGATTGGCCAAGCTGTTTGTTCAGTCAGAGAAAGGAATCACGTCTTGGGCTGTTTTAAAGAAAAAATTGCTGGAGGAATTTGAGGTTAAAGTCAGCAGTGCCCAAATACATAAGTTGATGATGACAAGAAAGAAAAATTTTAATAAGACTGTTCAGGAGTATACGCTTGTGATGCGTGAAATAGGTAGCCGAGCATCTTTGGAAGCCGAAGTTATTATTCAATACATAATCGACGGAATACCAGATGATTCTTCGCATAAAATTGTGCTATGTGGGGCCAAAAACTTTTCAGAGTTCAAGGAAAAGTTGAAATTATATGTGGAGATAAAGTCGAAAAGGACTCCAAAGGTTGATAAACCCCAATTTCATAATAGAAACTATGACAAAAATAAATTTGAGAATAAAAATGGAAATAAAGACGCTCTTAGAAATGATAAACAGCAAAGAGATAGAAACAAAAACAAATCATTCAATTGTTACAACTGTGGTATGCATGGACACCGATCACAAAACTGTCCAGATAAGAACAAGGGTGCAAAGTGTTTTAAGTGTAATGGCTTTGGGCACTTAGCTGCTCAATGTCGCAATGGAACGACATAATCAGGCAATATTGCAGTTATCGATGTTATACCAAAAAACTCAGTGACACTGTCATTTGGAGAAGTGAAAATTGTTGCATTGTTCGATACGGGAAGTGACCTGAGTGCAGTTCGGCAAGATATATATAATAAATATTTTAAGAATGAAGTGTTATCAAATGACAAGATGATAGTATGGGGTATAGGCAAAAGCAGAGTGCCAACGTTAGGATCATTTAAGAAAAGTGTTGAAATAAATAGTGATGAATTTGAACTCTTATTTCACGTGATACCTACTGATGCAGCAAACTTTAAAGCAATTGTGGGAAATAATTTATTACAGCAAGCTGAGGTTCATATTGACGAAGATGGAATAATGGTTTCCAAGAAAGAGGGAAGAAACTATTTAATGAAGATTACTTTAAATGAAAACATGGAAGAAGTGAACTTGACACACATAAAAAATAATAAACATAAGGAAACAATAACGAATTTAGTTGAAAACTATAAACCCGAAAAGAATACGACGACAAACATACAAATGAAAATCATATTAAGAAATGAAGAGCCGATATATCAAAGACCGCGGAGATTATCTATGGTAGAAAAATTGGAGGTAGACAAACAAATAGAACAATGGCTAGAAGATGGAATAATAAGGGAAAGTGCTTTGGATTTCGCTAGTCCCATAGTACTAGTAGGTAAAAAGGATGGTACTAAGAGAATTTGCTGTGATTATAGAAAAATTAATCGAAACATAATTAAGGATAGATTTCCTTTACCCTTAATGGAAGATGTATTGGATAAATTAGAAAACGCAAGAATTTTTACAACAATTGACTTGAAGAATGGGTTCTTTCATGTAAGCGTAGAAGAAGACAGTGTGAAATATACTTCTTTCATTACGCCCAGTGGGCAGTATGAATTTTTAAAGTGTCCATTTGGCCTGTGTAACAGTCCAGCCGTATTTCAGCGCTTTATAAGCCATATTTTTAGACCATTAACAGTGAAAAATATTGTAATTTATTATATGGACGATCTTATTATTCCAAGCAAAACATTTGAAGAAGGCATAGAACGATTACAGATGGTGTTAAAATTAGCACGAGACTATGGATTAGACATAAAGTTCAAGAAATGTCAGTTTTTGAAGACGAGAGTTAATTTTTTGGGATACATAATAGAAGCTAGAAAAAAACAGCCGTTAGATGAGAAAACTTCAGCTATAAAACGTTTTAGCGAACCGACTACAGGAAAACAGCTTCAATCATATCTTGGATTGACGGGATACTTCAGAAAGTTTATTCCTTCATATTCCATAATAGCAAAGCCTTTAAGTGACCTGCTTAAAAATGATGTGCCTTTTAAATGGGGGGATGAACAAAAACAAGCATTTGAAAAGTTGAAAGAGTTACTTACCAGTTATCTAGTATTACATATTTTCCAAAGAGATTGCCCCATCGAATTGCATACAGATGCAAGCAAATTTGGGTATGGAGCCTGTTTACTTCAGAAATCAAAAGAAGATTTTAAATTACACCCCGTATATTTCTTAAGTAAAAAGACCACCCCGGCAGAGGAAAAATATTCATCCTATGAGTTGGAAGTTCTG